AAAATTAATTTTAAACTCACTCAATCCAAAAGTAAGTCCATCTAATGTAGGTAAAAGCGAACGTGTCATAATGTCAGCTGCACTTCGTGGTCTTGTAAATGGCATCACTGAATGGGGAAATGTTTTTGGCTGAAAATAAATGGAAAACACATTCGTCAAACATTTGAAAATTACTTTGAATTATTTGTCAATCATTTTTGAAATAACATGCACCTTGATTGGAGTAATAAGCATATGTTCTGTCCAAGAGGTTTCCAGTGAGGGTCTTTCGAGTCGTTCAACATCAACGTTTAGTGTTTTTTGTTCGAATGGAACTGAAAATGTAAGAAAGAATGCAAAATTTAATTTAATACAATTTTTTTGTTTTTTAATGGATGCTCACCTGAAAATGTTTCAGATGGGATGCTTTGAAGCCAGCTAAGTAATGATAAATCGGAGTCACTAAATCCAACCGAGCCATCAAGCAGTCTTGAAAATGTCATCTCTTGTTGTGAACACTCTGGCGAACCGGTCGCTTTTGCTTGACAGTAGCCCACACATGATTCATATAATACACCTTTTATGACTAGTTGTCTAAAAAGTAAATGAGAATTTATTTAAATAAAAAATACTGCCATAGTGAAATTGTTGTGAGAAAAAAAAACATATAAAACAAGTTAATAGCTTACATCAAACGATCATTTTTTGCAGCTGAAATGGCCTGTGACTTTTTATCGCCCGGCAAGAATTTCTCCACCAATGGAAAAACATCACGAAAACATTGTACGCGTGCCTTGCTTGGATTCCAATCGCGATATTGCAGATGATCGGCGAGACGCGGTAATGTTAACAGTAAACATAATGCTGAATATTCGTCTTTGCTTGGGGCCAGTTTTTCTAATTCGCTTAAAATCAATACGACCTCTTCAACAGCACCTTCAACCGAATTCATACCTTGACCAGCCGCCGCCAATGCACCACCCGCTTCCGATTTAATACATAATAATTCAATATATTTGTGCTTTAATATTGAATATCGAAATTGTTTCATATCGAATGCTTGCAGCGCCTCTAACGGCTGAATAAATTCAATAACATCGTCCCATTGCCCGTCTAATATCAGTTGCCGCAAAAAAAGTACATCGTCTGAGTATTGACCGTTGATCACACCTGTCTCGCGCTCTAAACTTAATTGTGATATGTGCAATTCGCGATTATGTAGGAATTCCAACGTTAATCGCACAACATCCTCCTCTCGGAGAGCTAGACGTGCTGACGGCATCACGTATCGAATATTCAATCTGAGAAAAAAAAAATAAACAAAAAGACAGATTAATTAGAAACTTTTGTGAAACAAAAATCGTCTGCAATTAACGAGAAGGGAAAAAAAGATCGCATTATGCTGACTAAAGCAATTGTTCGATGTTTGTTTTTCGTGCAAAAAATCCGTAAAGATGATTGAATTAAGAACAATGTTGAAACCCATTAGTGGAATAGTTTCATTTTAAATTGGATTTTTTTTTAATGCCGCAAACTCACTGGTCTGAAACATGTTATGCAATTGTTTTTCATCTCCTAACGACCATATTTCAGTTGAAATTATGTTGTTGAATTTATACCAAAAAATGTATATAATTCATTCGGTAAATACAGAGTATATATTCGCTGCAACAAAACTGTTGCTCGATTGACAACGGGAACAATGCAAATATCGTCGGGAATATTATAGTTCCAGTTATGTGGCAAACCGAATGGTGGCTTAGGTCTCATTAACTATGATGGTAGACGATCGACGTCGGTGAAAAAATGAGACCAAATTCATAACAAAAGGCGTACAATGTGCAAACAAAATTGCCCATAATTTCAAATTTATTGTATCCGACTATAATATGAGATCCATTTGGAAAATGTGCACACTCATGTGTTTTCCTATGGAATAGATGAGTGCAACAAAAACAAATCTCACATGAAAAAAAAATGGCAGCATCAATTTCTTTTATTTTGTGCAAACAAAAACTGATGATTTTCTAGGGGCAAATTACCGACCAGACATACCAGTGAGAATAACAGCCGGGTTGGATGTTATATTGTAGACTTATTTCAAATGCATTCTCAACATCCAAAGATGTATTTTCAGAATACATTTCCCCTAGAATGGCTATGCAATTTATGAAATCAACATTTTTGCATTCCATTTCATGCTAGTTTTGTTTTTTTTTTTAAATTCACTAATGTGCCATGAGAAGAAACTCGTCAAGCATTAAATAATTTTGATTCTTGCTTCAATTGCAAATCGAAATAAAATTCAGTTGAAAACTGCAAGAAAAAAAAGGTAAGAAAATAATGACAAAGTAACAAAGTTGAATGGAATGCACATGTGAAATATATGACACGAACAAAGCAATGACTAACATGAATGTGATCTCGTGTAGACAAACTGAAGTAATAAATCTAAATCGATTCATAATTTTCACGATATTTTCCGTCTCGAGTAGAATCGAAGACGATTGTGTAATTTTGCGTGCAGATAATATGACGTGACGAGCAATGAAGATAGTGGCATTTAAAGTTTCGGTGAATTGAATTGCGTTTGCCGTTTGTCGGGTTGGCTGTTATTGCTCAAAATGACATTCCATCATTTAATTAAATTTCCAAATAAACCGAAACGAAAAATGTAATTCGCATTTAAAAAAAAAATGATGGGCATATTTCGGAAGCGTCATTTGGTGATAATGTCAACGGCTCTGTTCGCCTCCAAGCATATATGCATATTTATAAAGGATCTTTTACATCGTTTTTTTTTGTTCATTGTCTGACTCACTTGCCGCAAAGCATAATGTTGACAGTGCCACGTTACATGCTTGTATTGTCGGTTATTCACCCGCTCAGCATTACATTTCTCTCTTTCTCTTTTCCATCTACATCCATTTTTCAGTCGAAATATGACAGCAAAGGAAGTGAAAATGAACTAAAGCATATCACACCAACTGAATAAAACCCATTTTCAATTTTGATTGTGCGACTGAATTCAAAAGGAAGCTATTTCATATCCAACTGAAGCATGATTGCACGCATGGTACATACACAAGCTATACCATTAAGTTTTTCCCCATTATTCAACTTGCCACGTTCGCTTTGAATGGAAATGTTTAGTGATGTTTATGATGAATGATTTAGTATGTAAATAAGGAATTTGCTTTTGAAATTTGGAGTCGTTACTTTTTGATTACTAGGTCAATTCATGAATTGAATCTCTTGCGAAGAGATTGTGAGAGCAGAGAGAGAGAG